TTGGTTGTGATCGGCGGTATTATCTGTGGTATGAGTACGTTAACCGGCTAGGTTACGTTATAAGGACGTGCCGGTACGCTTTGGGACCCAAACTATAGCCCTCAGTACAAAGCGGACTGCGACGGACATCTCCGACTTGTTCTGCCAATGTGACCACGATGTCCCCCAGCGCTGTGGTACGATTATCCCGCCCACCATTATTCACTTCGTCTAACGACGGGTTGGTGTAACTAACTTGAAAATTCACGAGTACGACTTGATTTTCCAAAAAAAACCTTCTTCTTTTATGTTATGGTTGGCTAACGACGGCTAACGGGCCAGAAGTGGCCATTCCAGTCTCTTGTGTCCTTGTCAGCAATGCTATTTTTACACACCCGCGTTTACAGTAGATGTGCTAACTCATGAAATGTCAACCACAATTTCGAAATGCGTTCTCGTTTCGAAAAAATAAATTAAGTGGTGTTGTAAAACTAATCATGATGCAGCATAAATCTATAATGATCCAGTTACCCCAGGGTGTCGGCTTTCGAAAGAACTTATTTTCATCTGCATGCAAGATCTATACTCTGCAAAAATAACTACTTGAGTAATATGTAATTTTCCCATTGATTTTCGATGCCCTTGAAAATTCAATTATGCTTCATAGAAAACATATATAAAAATATTCATTCTTTAACTTATTCGGTAGAAAATTACGTCTTCGTCCAATTTCATCCGCAAAAGAATAGTATAATTTGGTTTTAAAATAGTTTCTAATTATGAGAGTTTTTAATACCGTTAAATGCCCGTTCATGAAACGTCATGTATCTGCATTTACGAGTGTGACTTGTAAAGTTAACAATATTGCTCAAATCCACTGCTTAATTTTATGAACCTCATATGGTCTCCTCTTAACACCGTAGAGAAATGCATGGTTTTCCGTACACGGAAAATATACAGCTTGTAGTTTTGAAACCCTGAATGCGAGTGTAACAGCAGGTCGGGTTCAAAATTATTCGGGAACTGTGATTCGCCGAAAATCTATTTCCGTGTCCTGACCTTAATCCTGACACTGAGCTTAACCTAACTTACCAATTCAAGTGTACTGTTCCCGGCCATCCTACAGCAACGGTGAGAAATCAGTCATCATTTGATTTATTGCACCTAGGTCTTGAGTTCAGGAAACACGCGAGCGTGTTGCCCGCATCAAATTACGTTTAAATTCAAAAAGGCTCAACACGGTTATCGCAGGTATCATGACGCATATAGGCACGTTTTCCTCAAATGTATATTGGTAGTTTAGAGTAAGTCAAATAAATAAAACTTATGTTAGTAATTTCAGCGATGCGTAAGTATAAAAGCACACCGGATAGCACGTATCGCCTAAATGCTCTTTTTTAATGAATTTGTGAGCCTAAGGCATGCGGAAATGTACTACTCCGCAGACAATATTTGCATTCCTACTTACGTTTTGCATTTTTCAATGGCAGGGTGCGTTCAACCCAACCAAGTTAAATGCTTAGCAAACTCGCCACTCACAATGACGCATAATTACTGACAAGACTGTCCTGCGCAAAGATCGAAAACTAAAATCTACACAATTGTAACATGATAACGGATGGAAAACACACATGAGTCAGCTGGACAGCAAAGTGTCGCAGATTCAATTTTGAATGAGTGAATTCTGGCAGGCACTGTTCCTGGATGTCTATTTTGACGAAGACGATATTCGTGTGTGAATGGCAAACGGCCAACTACCTAATGCATATAATGACTCAATATACCCATGCATGGATTAAACACTTGCGTGCACGGATACAATCACTGATTGCGTTAGAGAAGGCCATTGTCAGTATAGCGCATACACGGTAGAATTTGCGTTTGGTGTAAAGCCCCAACACTTACGTTTTCGGAAATCGGCTTCGGAAAATTGTCCTGCGATTAAACTGTTGACGGCAAACCGCATAGTCATCGTGGTATTCGTGGACCAAATGGTTGGCGGGAACTGTAGCCTGCGACGGTGAAGACCCCGAAGAACCGCAAAGGACTTCCAAGTACTCGCGGAGACACTGCCGATGCTCCGTCATCTTATCAATATAGAATACGGACCTTCCTTATTGCTTTTTTTCTTTTCCGACTGTATCCTCCTCAATAACCCCGAATTAATCACATAACTACTGTGTCCGAGGCATGAACTCTGACCTGCCCGATCATTGGTGGTAAGTTTTGACAACTTCATTGTTACAACTCAGAGCTCGCCGGAGATGCAACATTTTCGTTGTTTTAGATGAAGCAGTCAACAGGCATCTAGACCTTCCTTCAGCCTATAAAGTCCTACGTCATTACATACACCGTGACGAAGACAAGACAATCATACGGAGCCTAAGAATGCCGAGTAAACACGGCCTGTCGACCACTTTATCCAAAAGGGGAACACAAACGCAACCAACCCCAATTGAGGTGACGACACGTAATACAGGAGGCCACCAACAGGCGACGGCCAGTAGGCCAAGGCAGCGAAAGAAGAAAAAAAATCGATCGGCCCAAGGCCAACTAATGCGGCAGTCTATTCAAAAAAGTGCTGGTCGATTTTTTCACTTGACGCTTTGACAATGGAGAGCAGTTCCAGCTCTTCGAAACGTCAGCCGGAAAAGTCCCCCGATCCGGTAAGCAATTCATTCTCCGCAGAAGCAGTCAATGTGTCTGTTGGCCCGCGCCTGATCGTCCGATGTACTGATCAGCTTTGACTGCATGTTTAACTTGCTGTAGGCATTTTGGACACGTCCAATGGCCATGTGCTGCATACCAGTCACGTTAACACCATCTGGTTCCTGGTCAGTTCTTCGTGGGCATCGACAGGTATACTCGCCTGACTCTACACGATTTTGTCACTGGTCATATGCAGACTGATCGGGGTATTGTGCAGGACACATGGTAGGCCGCATTCAAGATTATGACTCGGCTGATCATGAAATTAGGGGACTAACCTTCGATCACCATTGCTCGGCCGATGACCTGCAATTTCGGAAGAAGAAACTCCGCTTCTTCCGTTGCATGGTCGTAATGCAATCACAACCAACGTCGCCACCATCGTCCGTTCAGTTTACGCTACCCCACAGTGTCCTTGCTGCCACTGCGCATTTGATTCGCGCAACGAACCGGCGGGTCCCTTGCTAATCCATTGTACACAGATCCTGGAAGCAGCAGCAGCAGCAGCAGCAGCAGCAGCAGCAGCAGCAGCAGCAGCAGCAGCAGCAGCAGCAGCAGCAGCAGCAGCAGCAGCAGCAGCAGGAGTAGCCCCGACGCACATCTGGCACACACGCCACACCTGCTCGTACTGTTTCAAGATATTCAGACATTGCATTCATCTCTCTGACCTTATGGTCCTCCATGGAAATCTTCAGTTTAGACCCATCACAACGCCTCCTCTTAGACGAGGACACACCACAAGGCTACCTATAAACCTAGTTTCCAACAGATACCCCAGAACCCCTAGTAACCCTCTGCAGTTTTTCTGAAGCAAACATGCGAACTCTTTTATCCTGGTCGTTGTGGTGAGCGGAACGTCGTATGTCTGCTCTCACTCTAGTGTGGCACATGTCCTTTAGGTGCAGAATAGTACGTGAAGTGGGAATTAACTCGCACGTCGCACAACCGGCGCCGCCTTGTCAGCCACAGCGCCAAATCACTTTTCCGGTCTGATGACAGGCAAGGACAGTCGTCTGGCGCATGGAAGTCCGATACTGGAACTTCCAGTGTCACGACGAGACGTCGACCCTTTCGTCACTAGTGTTGAATCTGACGCGATTGAATCTACCGGGATGCGTCATCACTCGTCGATTTGAAGGTAACTCGGGCCTTTTCAGGAGGTGAAAATCAGGATGCAGT